CACCCCGATTATCTCAGTATTTTTTCCAGACTGTTCTGGAGATGCTTGATGTTTCTTGGGAGCATAGCTTTGCAACCAGTATGTCAGTTTGTAGTAGCCAAGCTTCCATAGAAAGATTGCCTGCCTACAATGCACACCTATTGGAGAATATAATAAAGTATTGATCTTGCTGGAGACCCATTTAGTCCAGTATTCTATGCCACACAAGGACCAGCCTGTTGCATTTAGGAAGTTTCACAATCAAGGGAGAGAGACACTGTTGCTCTTCAGCAGCTGCTATTTAAGGAAAATTCAAACAAGTGGAAGATATACTCAGCAACATGGTCTCCATTAAGAACAGATGACCCTGTTTGGGTTATTTTAAAAACAAAATTCTCATTTCCCAGGCTTAAATAATTCTTTGTTATTTCCACATCAACTAAATATCAACTTTTAAAAAAAAAATGAGAATGGAAGCCTGAATACATTTTAATAGATGCATTTTCACCAGCAAATATTTAATGTGCTTCTTCCAGAACATTATGTATTCTTATATGTACTGTAAGCACCATGAAACATAGACAGAAATGAGCCCTGGGTATGAGGTAAAGGTATAGGTTAACTAGGCTGAGCTTCCAAAATCAAATTTGAAAAATTGCATGGAAAAACACAAGGATCTGGAGGCTTCATTGGACTCCTGCTCCAGAAGTCAGCTAGCCATTTTAGAATGTTTAAACTTGTTTTCCCAATCCTCACTTGCTTCTTTCCTCTGTGTATGCATCAATGGAACAAGGACATTTGGCAGCAGCAATTAGCTAGTAACAAGGAGTAATGTTCTCCTGATTCCCCTAAACAAAGCTGTGGGAGTTTTAATTGGGTATTTAATGTGAATAAGAACATGCAAATTAGCTGCCTGTTCCCCATCTCTAAAACAGAGCAAGAGTGTGTGCGCACGTGCACGTGAGTATGTATACAAAGCTTATTATATTTATATGTTTTATTCTCATATCTTAAGATGAAGTATAATATAGTAAAATAAATTGTTGTTAGAGAAGATGTGGCAAAATCTTCTATCTTCTGCAAATTCTCAGTGCAATCCTATAAATTAAAGTCTGAAGATTTCAGGCAGCAAGAAGGAAGGGGCAAAATGGTGGGTGGTGGCAAGAACTAAGAATTGAACTGAAAGATTTAAGCCCCAACAAAATTTGCTAAAATTATTCCAGCTTCCAGCATGGATTCAAGAGACAGAAGTTAGTTGTGTGGTAGATAGACATTTGGAGGTGTAGATTCAAAATAAGTAGAAGGATAGCAGGTGGACATTTGCATGAGTCTGATGACAAATACCATTTTGTAGGTCCTTATGAAGTGGGGAATTCCTCTCTCCCCTGTTAGAAGTCTCACCAGAGAGGACGTAGGATTAGGAAAGTGCAGGGGCCATAACTTTGAATGAGGAAACTGGTAGCCTACTCACCTTCTGGTGTCCCACTGAAATCCATGGTGGGGCCTGTGTTGGCGGTGCGCTTCGGATCATGGGTTAGACTGCTTTGACGAATCCAGTCAAAGTTGTCTGTTGTGTCCTGGATATAACCACAGATCTTCTCATCTTCAAAGTGGCAGGTGTTACCTGTAGGCAGGTAAGGTGCCTAATAAGTAGATCATTCCAACATGATCTTGTCTGGTGGAGTATACAGGAGACAAAAAAATAACTTCCTTGTAATAATGATACTTCTGCACTGAGATAGTAACACTAATTCATGGAAACGAGCTGCATCTCCCACCCACAAACTGCAACCAGCAAGAAGTCACAAAAACTAATTAACAGCCCTGCCTTTTTCTTTGGCTTTAAATAAATATGGGGAGTGTAAAATCTATACATTGAAAAATGCCCTGCCTGTTTATAGATGAGTTAACAAAGCACACTGTGATCATATTTATGTGATGGATGGATCTAGACAACATGTTGATTTGTTATGATACTTTTTAACATTTCCCCAGTGACTCTCCAGATACTTCAAATTGCTGCTGCCGGCCATGCACAAAAATATTCTATTCAGTCTGCACCCACAAGGAATAAAAAAGCAAGGATAAGCATACAGGCCTTGTTGCCAGCATCCTCACATGTTTGGCTCCTCTGTAAATCTTCCACAGTGAATCTATAAATGCACTTAGCAAGGCTAATTATAGATGCAGGATGATCATATAGGCACATTTATTCACTAACTTGTCTTCAATAGCTTTGGCTCCCTATAGCCAAGAACATTAAAAAGTCCATATGCACACTCCAGCTTTTTAGCCCCTCAGATTATAGGAAAACATGCATACCTATGTTGGAGTCCAGCTCCTCAATGTTTTGTGTTACATACTCAAGTTGTGAATATTCATTGACCACTTGCTGTTTATGAATGGAATAAATTATAATCATAGGAGGGACTCAAAAAGGCTGGGTAACCTTACACAAAAGTGGGGGAAAGGAGAGATGCTGGGCAAAATATAAAAGAAAAATTTGGTAAAACTGTGATCAGCTTTGGCATAATGTCAAACTCCATCAACTTGAAGAAGGAAATCAGTATGTGAAGTATAGCTGGAAGAAGCAGAGGAGTGTCGGTCTTTTTATCTTTTGCTGTAGTGCCCCAAGTTACTATTTTTATCCTGTTATTTTAAGTTTCTTGTTTTGCTATTTTATAGTCTATTAATTTGTAAATTTATCATATTATTTTACTGACGATTTCTGAACTCTGTTGGGAGGATGATTTACGGGCATTTGCACAACCACATTTGGCGTACCAGCTACAGTCAGTATGATTTCACAATTACCCATGCTCTTTTTATATCACACCTATACTATTGCAATACACTTTATGGAAGGGGGGGGGGTTGTTCTTGAAGACAATCCAGAATTTTAAAAGTTACAAAATGTGACAAGTTAGCCAGTAATTGATATAATAATGCCGATCTAATTTAAAACAACAACAACAACAACCCATATTGCTGGCCAACTGTATTCAAGGTCTTATCTATCTAAGGGATTTCCTGTCTTGTTACGAACCTGCCACATTATTAAATCTGCAGGAGAAGGGGGATACCTTCTTACAGAGTCTGGCTTTTCTGGCAGACCAGAAACAGCTTTATCTGATGACCTCCTCAAAAATGCTCCTTTGGAGCTGTGATTGGTTCCCACTGTCTCTGACTCTAGAAAGTGTGTCTTCTAAAAATATTGCTTCAGCATTTTCCTTAAAAAAAACCCTTCAATACTGTATGATATTTTTTTTTCTGAATTCTCAGACAACACCTC